ATGGGGCAATGTCATTCTTTCTGATGGAGGCATAGAATTCCATTGTGTATATATACCACATTTTCTTGATCCATTCATCTACTGAGGGCATCTGGGTTGGTTCCATGTCTTAGCTATAGTAAATAATGCTGCAATAAACATAGTCGTGCTGGTAGCTTTAGTGTGGTCTTCTTTGTAAACATTTGGGTAAATGCCCAAAAGTAGGGCATTATTTTTTAAGGGGACTAGTCATTTGTATACAAACTTGGAACAACAAACTATAGATTTTACAAGTATCAGAGTCTGATCTACTTCTGTATCATTGATTTATATTCAATAAAGAGGGATCTTTTTAATCAAGACTGAATAAATACACGTTTAAATACAATGTAAATCTACATGTTGGCATGATCTTGCTACAGTTAACAATAATATAAATAATAGCAAAACATGTATGATATACAGCCAACTAAAGTTTGGGGGCTAATACTCATAGCTACTCTTACAAGGACCATTATGAACACCATTTTCCAGAAAACAATGGCCAGTAGAAGATGTGACCTGGACGACATGAGCCTTACTATTCCATTTTCTTTTATTTCTGTTTTTTTTTTTTTGCACATTAGCTTAGATGTTTAATGTTAGTTAATTTAAGTCCATATTATACTCCACATTACTTATTTGCAACAATTTCACAATCAAGCTTTAGAGGACACAAATATCTTTTCAACTATCAAACATTTTTATACCAGTTCTACAGCTAACTGTTCCCAGTTCCAATTTCAAAATTTCATTTTAATCCTAGAATTCCAAGTATACAAATTCCCTTTATAGTGACAATTCCTTATATATCCCACCAAAAATCACTCACTAAATGATGCCTCCAGATATTGATGAGAAATATTTTATTTAAAAAATTAAACTTCTAAACCAGATAATTCTGTGTTGTCTTTTCCAGTTCTAGCATTTAGCTAGGTACTTGCACTCATTTATTTATGTGAAGTAACTGCCCTATCCAAAGTTTAAACAACAGAATAAACTTGTAGGCCTTGGCAAATATTTTCTGGGGAATCAAAGTTAATTTTCCTAAAGCCTATAATCTAGAGCTGTATCCCATCTGCCACAAATGACATAAAAAGAAATCTTGCCAACAAAAGCATGGCATTCCAAATGCAATCTTAATTCTTCAAAGCAGGTGATATAATAACCACTAGGATTATATAAAGTGTATTAATACACTACCTGGATGTAAGCAAAAGAGCCTTCAGTTTTGCACTGGTCCTGGGGGTTGTTGTCAGAGCCTGTTCTGGAACTTTTTGTTCAAGGCTGGTAGTGTAACCCCTAAGCCACAGTTCCACAGCTAGCTTTCGGTTAATTAGCTTTCTTGCCCAGGATGACTTCAAACCAAGATCCCCAGAATTCAACCTCAAGAATAGCTTGGATTACAGTTCTGATTCAGCAGCACTTGGAAAAGGAACTATTTTCTAAGAGGAAATATTTTATAGAGGAATTTGTACACTTTAGTGGTTTTGTAATGTACCAATGAAATTGAGAAATGTGTTTTTGACACTTGAGTTATTTGTTTACTCCATAATTATTTTTGTTGTAGCTTCTATTATAGTTTTAATACATAAAAACCAACCTTCCCAATAAAACTAAGATTTTTAATATGTATGGAATAGAAGACCCAATAATACATTTATTTTAGAATCACAAAATATGTATCAGTATACTCAAAATTTGTGAGAAAATATTTTTCACTTGTCAAATAAATTTTGAAATATACTTAAAAAATGTCCAAGTGTAAAACATAAGCCCATATAAAAAGTTAGTTAAAATTTGTATATTGAGTATAAGTTCAGATTGACTCAAATAAAGAGATAATATATATTTCACTGATAATGCAAAACATAGGAAGAAAATGATTTAATATAAGCTTTCACATTGGAATACATTTTATTTCTATAATTTCTAGTTTTCAGTTACAGTAATGAACATTGAAATGAACATACAGAGAAACAAAACTACATGCAAAAGCCGGGCGCAGGTGGCTCAAGCCTGTAATCCTTGCTACTCAGGAGGCTGAGATCTGAGGATCAGGATTCAAAGCCAGCTCGGGCAGTTAAGTCCGTGAAACTCTTTTCTCCCATAAACCATCAGATAACTGGAAATGGAGCTGTAGCTCAAGTGGTAGATTGCTAGCCTTGAGCTGAAGAGGTAAGGGACAGCGCTCAGGCCCAGAGTTCAAGGCCCAAGACCAAAAAATAAATAAATAAATAAAACCAAAACAAAACAACAAAAAAAAACCAACTACATGCAAAAACAGAAGCCTTGAGG